TCTATTTTCTCCAAGCTCCACCAGTGTTCACTTTTGGGCATATTGAGTATTTGTGGAGTTTGGTCCAGATCCATCATTGTTTGAGTCCACAGTGCTCTCTGGATGTAGGTGAACTACAACTCCAAAACTCAAGGTTAATGCCCACCAAACCCTTCCAGTATTTTCTGTTGGTCACGGGAGTTCTGTATGGCAAGATTGATTCCATTGTTGGAGTTCGTAATGCTCTTTGATTGTAGCTAAACTATAAATCCCAGCAACTACATCTCCCAAATGACAAAATCAATCCCCTCCAACCCCACCTGTATTCAAATGTGGGCGTATCGGGTATTTGTGCCAAATCTGGTCCAGTGAATGAAAATACATCCTGCATATCAGATATTTATGATTCATAACAGTAGCAAAATTAAAGAAGTAGCAACGAAAATAACATTATGGTTGGGGGTCACCACAACGTGGGAACCTGTACTAAGGGGTCGCGGCATTAGGAAGGTTGAGAACCACTGTGCTAGACATTTCCAACATGGGATTGTGGGATGAACTTGTGTTGTGGAGCCATTGTGAGGTTCGGTCACATTTTATTCAAAGGCACTGGGATATTGTTATGAGCACAATACAATTAATGTCAGTTCCTATTCCAGCTCATTGTGGAGGTGATCAGGAACTATGCACAAGGGTTCAACCACTCTTTTCTTAAAAGTAATTTCGGAAAATAAACAAGAACCACGTGTAGAGACTCTTTGGAGATCATTTTACTGCAAAGCAAGGTGTCGTCTATCTTTAACAGTAAGAAAATGCAATACATTCCTAAGATACAAATATTAATGACTAGCGGTTATTAAAAATAAAAAAGAGAAAGACAGAAACCTAAAACAAAAAGATATTAAATAAATTAAAGGCCTATCCAATACAAAAAGCAAAAAAAAAAAAAAAAGCAAACCTAATTATGCAATGGAGACACAGCAAATTGTTCCCGTTTCAAAATACTGTAATTGTTTGGGAGGGAGTGGGAATAATTTATTTTCCCAACACGTTGAATTTGGAGTGTCTTGGATGTACGTTTGTTGCTTTTTGCAGCAAAGAAATGTTGTTTTTTCTCTCTAATCTAATGTGTTGCTTTTTTGTCTGATTAGGAAGATTCTTGTTGTCTAGGCATTTGTTGTCTAGGCGTAAGATCCAAAATATGGACCAAAAGAGGAATTACATTTTCTTTAAATAACAAACCCAAAGGTAGATATGATCAAGGTTGTGCTCAATGACCCTTTCTTTCTGGTTGCTCAAAATACAGCGAGCAAAAGGTACATTTTGAGGTCGAAATATCAACCAAATGAAATATTCCTACAAGCAAAAACTGGCGGACACCGCCATATTCTTTTCTTTGTCCTAACACTTTTAATCCAGGAAGGAATCCATATGTTCTGTCTGTTACAATCCCAAAGTAGGAAAAGAAAACCCCTAACCATGAAGTGAACCTTTTTGTGCCACTTTGCATTCAAGTGTTATTAGAAAAACACAAGCACCTCAATGGACAACAGGGGAAAACATAGAGAAGAAAGGTGTTTTTCCCTTCCTTTTTTTAAAAAAAGAACTATCTATGGAGACAGACAGGGAAGCGGGATTGTTTCAAGTTGTCGGAACCAGGCAATTCGTAATACTCAGCCACTGCTGTTTGTTCAAGAAGGCAAAGGAAGGTCACAGTTTTGTTCAGAACGAAAAAGCTCAGGCGATCTTCGTAAGAAAGAAGGTGGTGTCCAAAATATACCCTTGTGCGGTCTCTTTTTTTAAAAAATCGACTATCAAAATGTTTTCTAAAAAAAGAAATTAAAATAAAATAAATTAGGGCAATAAAAAATGAAATAGGTAGTTTTTTTGTTTCTCTCCCCAGCGTACGCTGGATATTAGGCTGTCCTCAGCGAGCCATTCGCAATGCTGTTCTTCCCAAGGCTTGGCTCATTCTTTTGGAGCCACAGCTCAGCTAACTGCGGGGCCGACCCATAAGTGGAAGCTTTGGAGCCCAAGCACATTTTGTACTGTTTTGGATCCAGATTTGGGTCACAGAAGACGGGGTGGTGCACATGGACAACTCCAACCTCCTGGCTCCGGAACGTTTTTAATCCGGCCTGAATTACTTTGTTGAACAAGTCCACGTCCTCGAGGCCCCAACCTTGGATCGAAATGTCAAAGCCGCCGGCCCGGATGAGATCCCCTTTGTAAATACAGGCAATCCCAAAGCCGTAGTTCCTCCAGAAGCCCGTCTTCTGCGTAAAGGCAAAATTGTTATCACTAGCAACCTTCCCACTATAGACAATCTTTGGATCGTACTGGCTAAAGATGACCGGGAAATAGATTTGTTGCCCCAAAACTGTGTTAGCTCGACATCGTTGCAGGAACTCGGCCGTAAACACCAAGTCAACATCACAGAAAAACAGCAACGATTTGTTGTTAAACTGAGAGGATCCGACTTCGAGGGCCAGAGCGCGGGAAAACTCGCCAGATACTGGCAAGATCTGCATGTCTGCCTTGGGATACTTGAGGCGGTAGTCCCTCATCAGCTCCACTTGCCGGGCTTTGTCGGGGTTGGAGTCTGAGTTGAAGAGCAGGACCACCAATTTGACATTCTGGTTGGAAATCAGGCATGTCTTTTCAAAGTTCCCCATGAAGCGGGCAAACATGTCGAAGCGGCCAGAGAGAGGAATCAAGATGTTGATCTTCTGGTCTTTGGGTTCCTTCTTCTCTGCTTTCGACTTACTTAGCTGGAATGGGACAAACATCTTCAAGGAACTGGAGAGGAACGACAGAGACCCAGATTCCTGGTTGATTGTGCTGGCCAGGGCTTTGGCATCCGTCTCTTCGTGCTCCATGAACTGAACTCTGCTGAAGGTCTGCTGCAAGTAGGCATGCCTTCGGACAGGGACTGTCATCTTCTTGCCCTTGTGCTTCTTGTACAAAAGGAGGAGGTCCAGGACGTACTCTGCCCCGTACATCGGGTTGACCCTGCGGTAGCCGTACTGTATCTCCTTGAAGTCAATGATCCGCCCTCTGGTCTTGGCGTTGGCGTTGATCATCTCCATGACTTGCATCACAATATCATCCAGTGCCTCATGCTGCGAGGAGTCCATGCCTCGGCGAGGCGGCTGCCCATCTGCCGCAGAGTAAAGGTACTTTCCGGTGAGGAACTCCCACTCCAAGACCTCCTCGCGCTGCTGCGGCTGGAAGCGCATGAAGGAAGGCGCAACCCCCAGCTGGAGATCATCCCTGTGGACCTCTGTATTGCTGTATTTGCTCATGAGGACGATCTCCCGGTGCAGTTGTATAGTCCGGTATCGCAGCTCCGCTATTTTGCGGCTCAACATGTAACTGTGGAGTCTGTACTGGTAGGGTGGGCTCTTGTTTGGGTGCAAGGTGATAGCTCGATGGATCTTGCTGTTATGGAGGTCTTTGATGTAGCCTTTTTTGTTCTGCTCGTAGTTCTCATAAAACAGCTGCTGCATCTGAGAAGGAATAAAAACAGGAAAGAACGTTATGAGAGAATATGGTCATAATGGATAAATAGCCAATCATCCCACATATGCCTTACATGAACAGAAGTGTTTGGTGGATAAGCTCTTCCCTGCTATTGGGCATGGATTTTCGTAATATCAGTGGGTGCCCTAAAGGAATTAGGGGCTTATAGACTGTAGACCAGAAGGAAAAACAAATCTCAGTCCTGCTGCAACCCAGAGCAGGAAACTGGACCCTCAGACAACAATCCACCACACTTGGCTTCAGAAAAACAATCCTTTTTTATTGATGAAAGATGAATACAAAATAGAAGAAAAATGAAAGGTAGAAAGTCACAGTAAGAATCAGCAACAAGAAATGTCCATAAACAAGATCATAAAACCCACAGCAAAACTGCTGAATCCTGGAACCTGTTAGCAATCCACTAACCGTACTTGGAACAACTAGAAAATCTCCGAGGAACAAGGCCACTTGAATCAGGAGACCTGCAAACACTGGCACGTGAAACTGGAACGATGCCTGGTCTGAAGCTGTATTCAGGCATATTTAAGGCAAAGAAATCTATTGCGAGACACGCCTGAAGGTTTTGTTTGGATTTCTTTCAATCTAGCTGACCTACGTAAACTTTGTGCTTCTCCCCAACTCTGCCAAATCTGCCCCTGCCTATCCTCATTAGGCAGGTCAGGTGTCCGATTCTCTGGGGAACTAAGACTGGGAGGAAAAGGGAGTGAAACGTCTCCTCTCGGCTCGGAATGCATGTTCTCATGGGAATCTTGACTTTCACTTTCCAAGGCTGAAGGATTTTCACTACTCAAACCATCATCATCTAAATTGGCCTTAGAATACACATTGACATCTACATGGGCATCAGGAAATACAATCAGAGAATCAGGTTCAGGTTCACACACAGG